TTCCCTCAGATTCATTTTTAGCTATCGTGCCGTCACCTTTTTGTTCTTCCAAACTGTCCTTTTTAGTTTTTCATGCTAGAGCATAGAGGCACAGACTATTTCGTTTAAATATGAAGCATATCGAGAAGTGTTTGAAACAGATTTTATGGAACTTAATGAGGTCTATCCAAAATAATAGGCCACTGATATAATGAATTAGCACTTATCGCAAACTTATAGTGATTTTGGGAATGCCTTGATGATGGCCGTCTTCTGGGTTGTAGCGCCGTCTAGTCTGGTAGAAGTTTACCAACGTTTCAGAGGTCCTTGCTGCAAAGACCTCTAAGACAGCCATCTTCGGACTCACCGCCGTGAAAACCTCAAATCCTACTGGGAATATCTTGCTTTGTCGCCAGTTCTTTGGCACCTTCTGAATTAACACGTCATCGTGTTGGGGTCGGTTAGTTTACATCGCAAAAGTATGTCTGTTTCACTGCTGGATTGCATTGTACACTCTGACATTTGTCTGTCCTACCGATACTGGTGATGACATTAAACCGGTTCTAGCTAGGACAGTTATTCTCACCTGTCGCTCCACACGTGGTAGAAACAATACGTCTCGTATACGTACGAAGAAAGCATGCCCAGTCAGTAAAATGCCTAAAGGGTGTATGACAGGAGTTAATTTTCCGAAGACACAAGTTTTTCGCTTCGCTACGACGTATAGAGTGGCTTCGAGGTTCACGCAGCCACCAGGACAACAGAAACGCTGTCTTCGAGTAAATTACATCAAGGTCTGGGCCAGTGACCCATTGCCAGAGTAAATTATCTGTTCCCCTCACCAAGATCTCGTTTTCCGTAACGATCAGACGTAGAGATGGAAGAAGTGTCATCCTGATGTTCTTTCCGTAGTTTTTTTTAGGTTCGGTTTCTATTATGATATTAATGACCCGCACTCATCTCGTAAAGTTTCTGCTTCTCGTTTCTTCGCTCCACGTCACTCCACATAAAAATCTTACAGAAGTTATTTGTGCAGCTTACAAGCGTTTTACCGAACGACGTAATTTAAAGTTTTGTCTGGAGGGACTGAGGAAAACCACGGAATACTACAGTTAGAATAACCAGTTTCCGGTCCTAGATTTGAAGTCGAAATATCGATTTATTTCTAGGACTCTACACTAGTGGTATTCAACCTTTTTTGTTCGCGTACCCCCAGATATAATTTCTCTTCAACTTTGTACCCCCAAAGTTGTTGGTGTAAAATTCAAGTTATACATAATATACAATCTACATCTAAAATAAATTAAATAAATAACATTACTAATTATTCAGTGTTTATCATAAAATAATATATATATATTTTTTTTAAATTTCACGTACCCCCTAAGATGTCTTCGCGTACCCGCAGTTGAATACCACTGATCTACACAACGCAACATCCCAGAAAACAGTCATCTTCAACATTATTTGCTGTTACAGAATGGAAAGAATTAAGCCTAATTTTCGACAGAATAATATAATACTTTCAATGATAGCTGGAAGAAGTAAAATATGCAGAAAGTGAAGAAGGGAAGCAAGGAGGAAAGAAACATAAAAAGAAACCTGTAAATGTGGACCATTCTGCAAGAAATCGCTGTCTTCTTGGTTGTAGAACCATGCAGTCTGGTAGAAGACAGCCAATTTCGGACTCACCGCCGTGAAAACCTCAAACCCTACTTTCTTCAGCAACAGTTTAATGCAGACATGTAACATGAATTTATGAATTACTAAGTGGTTTATTAATGCATGAAGCATATAGCAGCACATTTACACAGAAGTAGGCACCGATGTTAAAACGGAGCAAATCTCAAATGGAAACTGAATCTCTTGTATTTCGTTAGTAGATCGTTTTAGTATTATTGTTTTTTTCTGGAGTTTTGGACCTATAGACCTATTGAAAAATTGAGATTATGCCAAATATGTTATCTACTACTACGTTCAGGATTTTTGATTATGTCTGCAATCATCTGTTATTTAGACTTCCAGAAAAGTAACCGGAAACAATAATACATATGTTTCAATAATTCATTTCCGGAAAAAATTATCCTATCCGAATGAACATCCCGTATAATTTTCAGCTTCATTTAAGCTTTTACCCTTTTGAAAATTGACAGAATTTATAAAATACTGTATTCATAATTCCAATTAAATGCGATATATCGATTTTGTGATGTTTTCTCATGAGGCACGACGAGTTCCCATACTCGTCACAGACTGAGGTGACCTACACATTAATGTGTCCAGTACAATTGTTATTTTGGACTCTGTACATGATAGAAATTATAAATCTCCAGCGTTTCGAAACCTGGATTCTGCTTCCGTCTTCAGGTACAAAGGGGGCAAGGGGACAGAAAACTTATTGTTGGAACTATGGTCTAGCAAGCCCCAGACCTCGTCCAGGTTACGCAAGGAGCTCAAAGGCCAGTCCTCTTGCTTCATCGTTTACCTGAGGACCTGTAAGTTGCTAAGTTCTGATTGAATTCACAGTCGAGTGCGAAAGCTATCATCAGCGCATGACTTATTTATAATGCCCAAGCCTGCTATTACGCAAGGTACAGTACACAATCCGTTTAAATCTGCCCCATACAACGCTGATCCATTATAACGCATTTTTCTCTCAGACTGATTTTTCTACAAAAGCAACAAATAACTTCTGCATGACGTGACGCCATTGCACGAACATGCAGTGCTTACTCTCGCTGCCGTCGAGTGTCGTTCATTTGTCATCGTAACATTCGTAAATCTTATCTGGTTTACACTTCTCATATGTTATTACAATTATAGCTGTATTTAGCCATTTTATTTATTGTATAAAACACTGTTTACTATTAGTGATGTGAGAATTTAGATTCTCACGGCAGCGAGTATAATTATGTATTTCTTCTCCCTAATAAGCTGTAAGCACCTCTGAAACGTCGTTAAATATTTACGAGATTACACTGCGGAACATAGGAGAAAACAGTCAGTTTTATCTGTAATATTCTTCCAATAACCCAGCGATAGCCTAAGATTTCAAAAACAGGTGACGATTTTAGGAACGCAACATCTAGGTACTCTACTAAAATGACCCCGCATAACGCTGATTTATTTAACGCTCCTTAAAAGGAACGCGTCCAAAATGTTTCGCGAGTTGTGACAGGAAATGGCTTGCAGATCAACATTATAAAGTCAATCCCGAATCTTGTCTTTCCCGAGGCATTCACAAGGACGCGCTGCCACAAGTCCTGTTCTGTTGTCTTTAAAATGCATGTCAGTATACCTGCAGAGACTCACAAAGCCACTGGCCCGTTAACAGGTTCATTCGTCTTTCTCATTCATTCAATCACTTATTTACTCTCTAAAAGACGGATTCAGTTACTCATTGCCTCATTCACTCACGCACCGTAAAAGTTAACTTACCTCAGTCACTAACCTGTTAATGAAACAAGGAACTCACTAACGTTGCGTTACAGTGATTGATCAGTCACCCTAATAGTAAAAACGCAAGGTACTTGCCGTTCTGCCAATCCCCCACTGCCAGACCTTCCACACTTGCTTCACGATCATGATGACGATAGACGAGCGATCGGGTTGTCTTACATTGCCACGCCGTTCACAAACAATTTGTTGCTTCCCAAAACATTTACGGCACTCAGTCCCCTTTCGACCGCGATAGTGAAATAGTCATGTGGAGCTCTGCATTTTGCTGAAAGGCTCTCTCTCCCAGTTCTGTGTCATATCATTGCTTCACCTGGAAAAAGCGACATAGACACGTTATAGATAACAATACCACATTCAGTCAATTGAATCTACCTCCGTTACACACGAAGCTTAGGCAGACAATTCCTTGGCGTCTTTTACTAGAAGACTCCTTAACTAATGCTGTTACGTTAATACTGGCACGGTAGCTGGCTTGTAGCTACAGCTCCTCCGTAGTCGGGAGGCTGAACACCAGACTAATTCTTCGTGATTTTCTTCTTTCTGCTCATGTAAATTTCAGGATATGCCTCAAAATTTACCAAGACTATTTCTTTCCATATCTTTCTTTATTCATAATTCACAGTTACCCTCCCATTTGACGTTATATAATCTATGGCACTCGATTCAGAATGCGTTGATAAATAACCAAAATGAAACAAGTTAGGAGCCACACAAATAGCGTGACCATTCCGGAAAGCTCGCCAGAATTTGACCATACGTCTTTGTAAATGTCAGGGGAATCTGGCTGGGATTTCCCACATCGGAATTTTCCGGTGAGGATTCACTTCTCTGCTCAAACAGGCATTTAAGTCATCACGAACCAAAATTGGAACGTCTAGACAAATTGTAGCAAGACTCCCCATTATCAGATCTCATCTGTTCTCAAGTTGTTGTATGTGAACAGACAAACAGACGGACGGATAGACAGACACGGTGAAGAATATGAGCACATTTGTGGACATTTTAGTCCTGAACGCCCTTAAACAACCAGTTAACTAACTAGGTAATAAACGTATCAGCTGAACTGGTACTCAGCAAGAGTAGACGAAGTTAACTGACTGAGCTTTCACTGGACAGTTCAAATTAATTTGTCTAATCGAGGAATTCCCGTTCACTGTGAAACGCGAATCATAACAGTGGAAACTTCTTCTTATTCACATTCTTATGACAGTAGAAACTAAGTATGGACCTTCTTATCTGAGACAGTTAACTGTTATTGATGTCCACTCATATGCCAAACTTATGAACAACCGAAGCAGAGGAAGCGAGTACTAAACCTAAAACTAGAACAACATAACCTAATTTAGCAAGTGGAATTTCCACTGTACCAGACATGAAGGGTTACACGTGCGTATCTTCGGTATTTCTCCTTCACGACGTATGTAATGGGTGTAGTGTAATGGCCATACCGTAGTTCAGGCGGCTAGATGCCGGATTCTCACCGCGGAGATCCGGGTTGAATCCCGGGTGACTTCATTAGAGAAAGAGGTTTTATCCGAATTCTTCAATTTCCACCGATAATCATCATTCCAGCATTGCTCCGTACTCATTTATCACTGCCCTTAATTTGTGAGATGCCCCTGACTAAGCAGCATATTTAATACACTCGGTCATATGTCAGGGGCGACATCTCTCTTGTATACATTCCGCACATAATTTTAATGATACTCATAATATTTGGTGTACTAATCATCTAATTATACATAACATTATTATTTGTAATGGTCCCGGAGTAAAGACAGTTTTGTTTAGAATGGCGAATTTAACCTTAACGTAGGAGTAAGTTAAATATAATTTAAAATACCACAAACTATTTCCTTTATATCCATCCTCCCATTTTTGACTCTGGCCTGCAGGTGGTCAGTTTCAAAGATCTGACTCACATAAATTATTTATCTGTTTTTTGTTTCCCCTATCCATATTATGATGTCTAGGCCGGGTCTATTGCCCTCTCAGCCCCTCATCCAGTGGGTAAAAAAGACTGTCACGAGAAGCTGATAGATTACCATCTACGATGGAGATTAAGAATGCGAGAACTGATTACAAGGTGAAGGCGTTGATCATTAGATGTTATATACTGTGTAATATACATCTATATAATATACGCCTATGAAACAAGTCTCATTATACTGAAGTAAAGGATGCCCGAAACTATAGGCGATAGCCTGACTAATCTCCGATCATTACTAGGATAGCCCACTCAAAATAGACTCCTGTTAATTGAATAGCTCTGTATATTTAACAGTGTGGAGTGAGATTAGAAGGTGATAATGAATGGTATCGCTCGTGATCTTCCGTGTTGTGTCGCCATGTGATCTTGTAGATGATCACCGACGTTTCAGAGGAACGTATCGCATCCATCTTCAGAGCGATGAGTGATGATGGAGGCAGTAAGTCCCTCTGACATGTCGATAAACGTCTACCAGAGTGCACGGCGTAGCATCCAAGAAAACAGTGATTTACGAGAAGCCAAGTCAGTTTAACCTGTAACACGATGAGATAGAACACATAATACAGTTCTAGAGACTTACCGCTAAAGTGACAGTTCGATAAGAATGCGCGAAGTCTGACATCCACACTCCTTTGAGGCTTGCAGGTGGTACGTGGTACGTTTAGGATTCGGTTTGCTCCGCACTGGTTTATTTCCTACAGCTTATAACGCTTAGTTACTGGCAACTTAGTGATTTTTATTCCTACTGGATCTGCGTTTTAGTTTTTTTTTGTTATGACTAATTGAATAACAAAATAACAAGCAATTCTACATGTTTAGAATAAGCTGTCCATTAGGACAATCACTCATCCTTACACTTTGAGGGTCAACATGACGGATAGCTTCCGCATCTGATTTATAAATCATCTCTTTGAGACCCATTCACTTCATGGGAGAGGAAAGATGTATACTTGGTTCAGAGTAAGTCATTATACGTTAATTTTATACATAGAACGTGAAACGCGTTGGAGAATAGATCTAATGTAAAGACGCACATCACTCTAAATCAGACATCCCCAAAAATTATCCGTGGAACACCAGTGACCCGTGAGCTTTATTCAGATGGCCCCCTGAACAACTGGTATTGCCAAAAAATAACAATGAGTATAAAAGTACACCAACAAGTACTGCAGAGTTACATTTTCAGGTTCTCACGGCAGTTGACAAAAGCCCAACTATTTAAGCCGGTTCAATTTAGTTTACCCATCTTTTTCTCTTTCTACTATTTAGAACTTATTTTGTTAAATGTTCCAGTTACAATGTCTATTCGCCGAAAACGTTTCTCGCGTTTAGAAAATATAAATGTTCTTGAACCCCATATTTTATATCACACGCAGTTGTAATCCTCGTGGATTGCACATCTCTTAAACTAAAAATAAATGTTATTTGGATTCAGTTTGGGCAAACAGAATTATCAGCTCCAATATTGAACATGCCTTATCAATAAAATACACTCAGAACTGTTTGGCGAGTTCGTACCTTGCGTTAACAGACGCTGGGCAAAGTGGCTGTCGAGCGTCGTATCACCGAATCAAGACAGACACTGCTTGACACTAGCCACTGCACAGCTGATAGGCTCCAGCGGCACTGCTATGCGGCCTCTCGGTTAGCAAATGGAATCAGTCGTGTTAGATCTTATACCACAGTAAACACACGCCTTCTTTTTCATGTAAAGAGAGCGGAGGGAGACAAGCATTATAACCTAGGTTTTAGGCTTTAGAAGGACAACCACTTGGAGTGTTAAGATGTACTGCTCTCATATATCCCCCACCCCCTTATGGTTGGTTAATCGGGTCTGCCTCCAATCACTACTTACGGGGCAGGGATAAGAGTGGAGGAGTGGCATGTCTTATATTCCCCGCTCTCTTGTAGGAGTCGCACGCGATTCTTGACGCTTGAGAGTGCATGTGACGGCCCAAAAGGACATTTGTTCAACTTCCAGTGTTTTCTCTGGGATTTGTCATATGCAGCCTGCGGATGTGAGGATGGGGTGGGATTGCAGCAGCCTCGAGCAGGGCCTGAGGGACATGGAGAGGGGTGACGAGAAGAAACAAAACAAAACTGGAGAAAACGTAGCGGCCGGCTTTGTATTTCGGAGGTTCCGGCTTTAAATCTTGGTCAGGAGACCGGCTATAATTTTTCCTCAGTCTGTCCAGGTATTTGTTGGAATAGCAAATTATGCCGCGACCGCTTTCTTCCAGATCCTTGAAATTCATTATTCATTCTTCAGTTCAACGCTGTGTAGACTGACAGCGTCGTCAAATATACGACATATTACATAGAAGGAAAAACAGGTTGGGTGAAGTGATAGAGAGATGAATGTAGTGCGTCAATAGAAGAACTGAAAGAAGTATAGATGTCTGAGTAGATCGGAAGGATGGATAGATACAAGGATGAACATCTGGTGGATTAAGGGTGGGTGGCTTGTTAGGTAGAAAGGAGGATGGATTGATAGATGGAAAAATAAATAAATGGATAGATAGTATGCAGGATGAAATTATAAACTGAAGAGGGTGTCGAGGCGCGACCTGGACTGAACATGCTGAGGACAAGGTGCAATGACGGGCTTCTTTGTCACGTTGTCTGTTGTTGGTCCACGTGTAACAACTTGAGAACCGCTGAACGGATTTTCATTAAATTGTACGTTGCGGAGGTTTGTTCACGTCTGTCGACACATTCCAGTTTTGGTTAATGTTGGACTAAAATGACGGGCGCTTTATATGAAGACGTATATGGATTTATGCGGACACAGGCGAATGGCTGGCGAACCGAAACGCGGAGAGCCGCGAGACCAAGTGGGAATCCCCGGTCAGTCTTTCGTGATGACTGCAGCGTCCAGGTAGTCAGTAGCCTTATACTCCAGCCATAGAAATGTAGTTGACAACAGAAAACTCTGATGTTATTGGCGACATTTTAAAAGGCCAAAGGGGTCAGATTTTGGCTACTCTCCAGAATTGTCACGCCGTGTGCACGCACATGCCAGACAAAGCGTTTCGATTCTGCCCGCGAACCTTCCAGATTTATTTCCGCTTTTCAGTGTAGCATTCTGAAGATAGATTATTGAATAATTCGCTTGTGGAATTTCAGTTCCATTCATCTATAAACCGTCACTGGCTAAATATTTACGGTCTGTTAGGTCTGCACCGTCAATAACTGTACCGCTACACGGTTACAGTTTCCTCAGGAATATACGTGCCAGCAGGTTGTTTATTTTTCTCACTAAACCTTAACTACCTCTACAAAAAGAAAAGAAGTTCTTGTAGTACAGTACTGAATATCACATTGTATAAATGTAAAACTCTTTTGTACGTCTCACATTCACTTTAAAAATACGTACAAGAATAAAACTAATGGTGATACATATGCATAAGCAGAATCAGATACTTGGGTACGGCAACAATACGGAAACATTTCATGAGTTCTCACTTGGCAGCTTCACTGTCAAAAAGACAGAAAGGTTTTCGAATATACGAGCTCACATGTTTTGCCGATATATCGCTGAAGAATGAATCCCAGGGACATTACTTAAGGCGCAGTATGATGCAAAACAGAACCTGCCTGTATTGCGGTTTAGTCGCGTCACCATCTAATCTCATTATCTTCTGGTGGAAGTTTGCCTTCACCGGCATCGGGTAGTAGAAACACGTTCGTGATAAACCAGGTAAGTGGTGTGAGCTGAGACATGTCAGCTCCGGTCCTGTTGATGCGTGCGTCCAGGGCAGAATATTTATGTTAATCATGTTAGCTGTGTTACCCGGCTAACGCTTTCAATAATCCGAGGTATTCTGTATTACTTCCGTGGTTCAGTGTTACTTCGTACAATGGAACGCAGTAGAATCGAAAAAATAAATTATATCTTTAGATATATCCAGCTGTGCTGTGTTTCAGTGTTTGGAGCACCACTGATCGACGAGAGCATGGCCGACACAGTTAACATAAATTCTCCGTCTTTGTTGTATTTTGAAATTACGTGGCAAATAACGTAAAACCAGTGGGTTTAACGAGCAACGGCACTTTTATAAAGAAAAACATTAAACTGGGAGCTGGTCGAATGTCTGAAGGTTTCCCTTTTTACTTATAAATAAACTTTATAAACTTCCGTTTGTGACACTAACAAGACTGGAACTACACATGTTTAAAGCTGTCCACGAGTCATGGAAACTTTTGGCCAGACGTAGGAGGCAGTAGTTTTACCGTCAGTGATGCAAATAAAGCTAACAATTCATTCAAATCGTTACCACGACAACGGCTGTAATACTTTATGCATAATATCGACAATCATAAACATTACCTTATTATTATATAATAAATCATATACAATAATTAAAAAGTACTATCCATGGTGGCAGCAGTGTTCGGTTCACAGCATTTCTATAACACTTTCTGTTGGTTGATTTTATTAGAGACTCTGCGCAAATTGGTCCGTTATTTGACTTTAAACTCAGCAATTTGTCAGTATACAGTTTAAGTTATGTTTCTGGCTTGTGTGGGCCTGACAGTTGATCTCTGTTAGAAACTGTTAATGAGGTTGGTTTAGAAATGTGTGCAGAACAGATAAGTGTAGTCAAACCATTGTAGACTGTGAATTAAACAAGGAACCTCTCTTTATTAAAACATTTCTGTACTCCCGAGAATTATGTGGAAAATTAATGTACAGTTGCTTCCAACAAACGGAAAGAACACAGCGGAAAATAATGTGCTTAATTATTTTTATGTTCAAGCAATTTTACTCTGTACTTTGCTTTCTGAGACTTTATCTGAGGAAGAACATGATGCATAAAAAATAAGCCTGCATGTCGGATGAATATATGCAGAGTAATGCAACTGTAGGAGAGAGAGAGATGGAGTAAGATAAAGATAAAGGAAAGACAGCGAAGAGAAGAGAAATGGAAGACGTACGAATTGAAAATTTTGCCCACATCTGGTTCAGGCCAGTACCTGAGTAGTATCTTTAAAGCTGAAATAGTTTACGTACCGGATTGTGATATTTATTCTGAACTCTTTTAATTTAGTTTCATTTTATTTTGGGTAGACTACTAGCAAATGTTATACCAAAAAGTTTATTATTCCTTTAACTTTTTGGTATAATATTTGCTAGTAGCAGAGTTTTTGGATTAGGCCATGAGATGCATATACCGGCCTCAAATGTGTCTTTCCGCACACAGTCCGCTTGCTCTTATTGTTATTTTTCCGCATGGTAACTTCGACCACCTGCCTTCACCATCTCTTCATATACGATATGACACGGGAGATAATTTTTTTTGAAATGATAGAAAGCAGCTCACATATTAAAAATCTTCTTAATTCAACGTGGATATCATTTTAATGTGATATTTTCACTCTGAAGTGTTTATTTTCTGCCGAATATTCCAAAGTATTGTCAGTTATTTCGTATTAATACGATTGTGTCCTTTCGTCTCTTTCTTTCTATCGTTTCCGTTTATTTATTTATTGCTTTCGAAGGCAAATGCTGTGATATGCTTTCCTTAAAACAGGCCACGATTGCTTCCTGCAACATACTTTCTAATTAAATAAATAGCCGTATCTTCTCATTTGACGCATCGAATGATAACTGTGCACCCTTCAGTGTCTGAACGCTTACCTCAGCCTTTTTATATTTCAGAAGGGACAATCGAATCACTCAATTTGTGATTTTTCAACCATCTGCGTTCCGTCATGCATTTTAAAGTCAATATGCCTGCTTTTTGAGTGAAAGTACTGTTTATGGTGCTTGTTTGGTCCAAGTTCAACTAATACAAACAGGCAGGAGACTTAGATTCCAGGTTCTTCAGTTATTATGTGTTCTTTGCACGAAGTTGATAACTAGAACGCATTATGTGCTAGTCGTGTCTATTCGTCTGTCCGGTCGATTCAGCTTAAGAACCACTTGACGGATTTGGATGAAATTCGATATGGAGTTCGTGCCGTTGTGCACGACCTCAAAATCGTCCTTTTGAATATTTTACTAGCGGTGGTAACAAAATGACGGATGAGGAAAATCATGTGGTAAGCATTGAGGTACTGCGATGTGGTGGCCAAAGTAGGAAATATCGAAAAGGCGGCTTCAGTGAGTGTAAATGAACGCATCAAAGAAGGCAAGAAGATATTACAGTAAAACCCCTCAAGTTGGACACCCCTTTATATTGGACACTTTTAATTGGAACCGGCGAATATCCTATAATTTTACATGTCCACAATACCCTATATCTTGGACACCCCTTTATCCTGGAACTTGAACACCCCTTTTGTTGTAAGTTGGACAGGTTCATGCACTTAACTTTGATGCTTCTCAGGGAAACTTTTTAAGTTACATATTTTGTTATTTTGAATTTCTGACTGATGAATGCCTCCTCTCTGGAGGATTATCTTATGGACATTGAACCCATCATTGGAATGCATTGCAAGTGTTTAATTATTCTTTTGCTGAACCCTTAACTGGACTACAGTATTGCAGAAGACACATTTTTAACTCCATCAGTACTGTGCTTGCATTTGAGTTCAGACTGTATTAACAAAATGGAATTTGTCTTTTTGCGATGGGGAAGCGAAAATTGGTGGAATAAACTTTATAAAATGATATTGAGACTGGGGTGTAATGTGCAATACATGGGAGTGGGCTTCAAAAGATTATTATTATTAATACTATTGTCATTAATTCTTAATTCAAGTAAGCCTACAGCAGTTAGTGTATGTAAGTAAATAGACCATATTGTCATTAGACCACAATCGATATTTATCTTTCCCTCTATCTTGGACACCTCTGTAAGTTGGACACATTTTCGTGGAACCACAAGTGTCCAACTTAGAGAGGTTTTACTGTATATATATTCTGTTACGAAATACACATTCCGAGCTTGTTTAAAGAAAGAGGCAGCTGTGGTGGGACTATCTATGATGTCGCCAAGTCACAATACACGTGGTGACGGATTCAAGTGGAATTTAGGTCTTTGAGGCCAACGTGGTATGTTATAGCGGTAGAGGTAAGGCACGATATGCGATATGAAGTTACACCGTTAAATAAATACGAATCCCGCACTCAGTGTGAACACCTGTATTTGACGCTGTGGAATTTTCTACCGCTGTATCTTACCCTACTGATACCGCCTTGGTTTCACGGAACCTTCTCGCAACATCGCAGTCTCTTAGCCGTGACACTCTAGACGCGATAAATGGTCACTTCCTGTCCGCTATGTTCCAATCCCAATTTGACAGCACGTGCAGGTGGACTTATTTGGTTGTTGCCCCGGGCAAATCTTAATTTGTGTCCATTAATAAACTGAAGATTTCTAGCACAGAACAATGAACTAAGCTGTGAACAAATCACGCCACATTCAAAGCTGGAAATACGCTCTTAATTGACCTAATTGCATAATAGAACAGGGGTGTACAAAGTCTTCTAGTGGATCTTATGTGAATTCGGAACAGCCAATTTTAAGTTCTGAAAGTAATTTTACAATTATTTTTCTGTAGATCAAGAAAGTATTTGGGAAGAAAAAACCATGCCATTCGGGGGTGAGGGTTAGTTTAGTTTCTTACTCAAGGGTTAAAACACTTGAATGAGACATAAACTAACCCTTCCGAAGGGGGGTTAGTTTAGTGTCTTACTCATTAATTTAAAACGCAACCAACCCCCCCGGAGGGAGGTTCGTCAAGTATTTTACCCCCCATTCGGGGGGGGGGGTTAGTTTAGTTTCTTACACAAGGTTGGTTGCGTTTTACAAACTTGACCACCCCCCCCGTAGGAGCTCTGAAAGGAGCGCCCTGCTCTAGTAATTAAAAAACAACAAGAACAATACAGGGTGACTTGGTTAATAATTTTGAAAGAAAGTGGGATAATTCAAATGAAACAAACAGCAGTTGATTTTTCTTCCACTCATGATGTTTATGACTACGGTATGAATAACAAAGAACTGAGTAGCCTGAAAACGAAACTACATTCTGTGTGAATGAATGAGCTACTTTAATTATGCCCTACTTGATATTCAGTTTATGAATGACGCAACTCGTTTCGTTACCATAAAGAGCAGGAACGGCACCAGACCGGGTTCATGCCTGCCAATATATAACCCGTGCGTGTCATTTATGTGACGTCATGACCACAAGCAAATGGCGGTGCATAACATAACAGAAAGTGAGACTCTGATACTAGTTGATCAGTTTAAGGAAAAATCTTGTTTTCTGCTCCTCTATCTCCATTTTCATCGTCGTATTCTTCTC